AGTTTATGTTATCATACAGTTTTCGTCACAACATTCTTCAGCTGTACATAAGATCATCCAACAACAACAACAACTCAGACAGCTTCAATGCTAAGTATTTCGTTCAGCAATTTGACAAAAATCAAAAATTGAACAACAAATGTGGATTGTAGTGACAATCAAATTCTATAATCAATATCACAGATACTGCGTCATTGATTGGAGAATATTCTTGGTAAGCCTCTTTATATGAGATCAAGAGTGAAGAGAGGGTTCACGTACGAAGACCCTTGCGAATATTCATTATGCACAGATTCAGTTGCAGCAGCAAAGAAAAAATTTATTTCGATCGCGATCCGACGAAGGGATATACTCGCTGGCTGCTGAAAGCCACGGAGCTTGAAAGAATACGCATGAGATCGTCGAGTTTCAATTGTATGCCCAATGAACATGCGGATGGGACGAAATATTTTCGTCCTATTCAGTATAGATTGTTTTGATTCCAAGAGATGCATCGTTACCCTCCTATCATCGAGTTTTTTTTTGTGCAAATTTCGTCGTTTCCGAATCCAATTTGGTGCCGTCAATAAAACGATCCCTGTACGTATCTGGCTGGTGCTTCATAACCGTCAAAAAAGTCCCCCGCATTACGACCATTTTGCTCTTGTTTCAACTTTTCGACTCGCTCCAGTGCATGCTCATAAATGGAGATTTTCTTGTTTGGCTCACGAGCACTTTTCGAAACGTTTGATTCGTCGACACCATTCGATTGGTAGTTTTCAATGCCGATCATTGATATGGTCTGAAAAAGATTGAAACGATAGAAATTTGTGGTGGAGAAATGTAATTGTGCATTGTGCACTATGCAAATGGTGCGTTGTGCGGATTATTTTCATCCCTCATTATTCTATTTTCATTTACATTTATTTTGGTCCATTTTCTGAACGGAATCCATTCAAAATGCCTTGATTCGAATGAAACACGTTTTCTGATTATATAGAGAGATGCGTGCGTTTGAATTTAACGCATTCGAAATGTTTGATTTGTAGAGTAAGTGGTACATATAAACCTTTCTGATATCATCCACCTGCGAGTTTCGCTCTCCAACTCCTTCCAAAATACTTTTAATATGCACCCAAAGCATTGCCAGCCAAATGATCAGCTGCACTCCAGCTGTAATTATTTCATCGAATTGTGTTCAGTTACTTCAGTATTCGACAAAGATGGATGCAATTCCACTATTGTAGAGAGGGATATGAAAATAATTGAATGAGTAAACAAAGTCATTTCTGAAGAGAGAGAGCAAAGGAAGAAACCAATAAAGAAGAAAAGAAATCCAGGTAGCCACTGCTCAGTCAGACGATATATATTCGAATAGATCAGCGTGGCCACCATAAACGTCAAATCGCATCCAATACCAAACAGCGAGAATATTCGACCGATTTCTTCGAGTGGTACCAACTGAAATCAAGAATATTTGCACTGGCACACGTCATCTAGTGCGTTATCATGCAAAATGTCAATTGTTCTTTTAAAAGTATTCACATAGGTGTTAATGAAGACCGAGAACACTGCTCAAGAAGACCCGACTGAGAACAATATTCTACCGAAATGATTGGCGGTAATTTCGGTATTTGGTTTTGCTCGTTAGTTTTCGTAACTTTTACGTTATCAGTCGACCGAAGCCACTTCGGAAGTCGTCTCTGTTCGGTAATAATCTGTCTAGAAGTCGAAAGATGTTCCAACTTGAGTTGGGACATCTTTCGGTTTCAAGACTAGTCATTACGGAAGGGAATTCAGTCGATGAATGCTGAACTATGGTGGTACTTCTCTGAAGCGATTGATTAGATTGCGATTGATTGTCGTCAATAATCATGTTCGAAAATGAGCTGGATGAGGTGAAATGACTGAGAGAGTTCTTCACCTGTGCGATGAACGAAACGACGGCTGGTTGAATGAGTGCAGCAAACAATCCAATAGCGTTCGCCAGATACATGTGCCACGATTGTGTTGCTAATGCAATGACAAGTGCTCGTAGTGTACTTGAGGCTATTGCGATTAGTATCACTGTTGTTTGACGACATCGCAGCACTTGCTTGAACAAATACATACCGATCAATGTTCCAATAATCACTGAAATCGATGCGAGACTTTCTTCAAATTAAATATGTCATATGGACATCCGAACAATGATGACCAAAACGTTCCGTGAAAATGTTTGCCAATCATGAATGAGAAAAACATGAAGTCGAAAATTTTGTAGTTGAGTCGAACTGTACTTATCACATAGTGTGATCATGGATGCGTTGATGTATTAGGGAGAAAAATCAGAAGTGGGCGACAAATGTGGTATTAATCACAATTAAGGGACTGTTATCAATATGCAGTGATCGTTCTGAGCAATTATTAGATCATTCGCCCGAAAGTTTTATGGTTTATTTCAGCGAGGAATGTTTGTTTACCTTATTCATTTACTATAGGCGAGTGATAATTTCACTTTGCATGCTCAACAAGATGGCATGCACTAATGGTATCAACTGTTTCAGGTCTTTTACTTGAAAAAGCATAAAGAGTCGTATCATCTATGATATACAAATATCAAGCTCACTATCCAATCGTGTTTCAGTTTAACTGCATAATTAATTGTTGGAGTAACTTATACTCCTTCCTAGAATTTATTTTTGACTAAATACAAGTGAGATCAACGAGCAAATCAAATGGATCAACTGAAGAAACGCGTACATATCGAGAAACCACTCCCATTCCAATAGCCAAGCTCTCGTTGAGTCCATTGCAATGATCCACGATCGGTCCTTCGAAACACGTAACTGTCAATAATAATACCTGAAAGAGCGAGCAAATTAAAATGACATTTCATAATGCTGTTTATTAAAGAATATGGTATTTGGTGAAGGCATTTCATTTATTTTGCAATAACTATTTAAGTCTTTCCACTGCATAGATATCCTATTACTGCTTTGAAATAAGTCAATTTCAAAGAATTCAATGAACATTCAAAGGTATAATGTCGAGTAAAAGGTTCATCAAGAAATCGGAGCTAATTGAGGATTATGAAAACAGAAATATTCACTTATTCGTGTTTCAACAGATGTCATATGGGTGACCATAAGTGCTGTGACCGTTATGAATATGAACGCCCTTCGATGTCCTGGTCGTTTGCGTCTATACGATTTTAAACCTTCTTTGAGCAAATCGACGGCTTCGACCAGACAATTTTTTTTATTTGCCTCTGCGGAGATGCCTAAAAATCTTTTAGAAATGGTATCAATATCGAATGATAAACTCTCTGATGCTGTGGCAAATGGAAAAATGACAAGACAAAGGTCGTTTATCTCGTTGAGGTGCTCTCGAAATTCAGCATTGCATACCATGTCCAACTGCAGGTTTTTGCGGTATCTTCCAGAACACATATAAAATCGTTACGGCGAATAAGCCTAGTTCGATGTAGATGGACAGCGTAACTGATAACTGCAATGTGAACAAGTTAAAATGATATGTCGTTAGTCATTATTGACCGATGCAGTTATTGTTTTTTGAACGGATGTTGGTCATATGAACGTATGGTTGAGATAAGCATAGCGAATTTTTTTTCACCAATTGATGCATCAACTGAAGATTAGCAAGCAACCCCGAATGGAAGTGATCTGACCAACCCAACTGAGAGCCGCAGCGACAGTGGCGCCGATTACCGATGCAATCGATTGGAAAACCGTGAAAATACCCGAACGAATCATCAGCTTGTCGTTATCGTCCGTTATGTCGGCCAAATATGCATTACAAGAAACGGGAATCTTCAAGCAGAAAAAAAAACATTCATAAAGAATCATTTAATAAATAATTTCGATTATAACACAGAATTTTGATAAATAAATGTGTTTAGTCTTTTCTCCCAACTTTCCACAAGTGGTGACTACTGGACTGCTTTTATTCGAAACTCTATAAGCTGCGTAAAAATTTCA